ATTAATTTTAGATATTGGCATATAGTTTACTTTTGAAATTGTAAGGATGAAAAATGGTCAGGATGTGCAGTTAAAAATTATGTTTATTGAATAATAAAAACAATAAACGTAACTGTTTTACTGCACATACTGACCATTTTTCATCCTTTATTAATGTCCATGTAATTTTTTTTTCTTTCCTACTTCTTAATTCTATTTTAATTTTCATTATAATTAAAAAATATATTTTACTCTATTTATAAAATGTCCAGCTTCTGATTTTAAATCAAATAATGTTTATATCATCAGTTGGACTTTTGAGAATGCATTTCTTGACCCTTTGTTAAAGACACAATTTTGGTTGAAACGGTAAATAAAAAATTCACGACAATTGTGTATCCTTGATTGAAATTCACAATTAACTAAATCATGTAAAATAATACGTAATATTATGTAATTCAGGTATTTCTTGTTGTTTAAATTCATTAATAAATACAAGTTTTTGAGCATATTTGAAAAAAGTAAATAAATTTAAACTTTAGCTATTCTATCCACTAGGCATCTTCCTTGTTCATCTAAAATATATTTTAACTTTCTGCATTTTTAATTTATATTTTTTGAGGCAGTATCTTATTACAACATTGATTTTTTTTCTTTTATTCATGTAATATTTAGAAACATCAATCTAAAATTGACTACTGTGTTGATGATGAAAACATACCATAAATTCTAGGTTAATCAGTTTCAAATCATGTGATATTAACATGAAAAATTACATATAAGTGGTTCCTGTCTGAAATAAATGTAGAAAATTAGATATAATTACGTAATAACATCTTTTGACATGGTTGTTAATTCCTGATTACTGAAAGATTCCGGATTTTTAGATTACTAAATAAAGTATACATATGTCAATCGCTATGTCTTCATTTCTTATATATATATATATATATATATATATATATATATATATATATATTTTTTTTTTTTTTTTCTACTCATGATCACTTATATGTAATGATATTTTTATTGTGCAATGTTTGTTACTGTTAAATTATTACTAATACTTAATTTAATTGAGGGTTAATCTAATAACTGAACACTTTCCGTTTTAATTTTTAATGGAATTTGCAGTAATCATATATATTTGTGAATTTTATAACTTATTTTTAATAATAATAATGAAAATGAAAGATATAATAAGGATGGTTTATATTTTCATTCATATTAGGTAATCAATTTCTCCGTAGTGGTAATTCATTAACAACTTTTTATATTGAACAGCAGAGTCTCCCTCTCTCTATATATATATTTTTTATTTTTTTTTTATTTTTTGTGGGTTTTGTCTATCAAACTCTCCTTCTTTCCATTTACCTAATTCTTTTTATTTTTCCCAAACTCTCTCTTCAATTTGTTCCATGATCATATTCGGCATGAGAAAACCTTTAAATTAACAAAAATATTGAACTATTTATTCATTCATGTTTATTCACAATAATTCCCCAAAATCAAAGGCTTCCTTTGTTAAAAAATTCTTGCTTTCATCTCAAAAACATATAAATTGAATTTAAGTTAATTAGAGATTATAAACTATTAGTAAACTAAACTGGTAGATATAGTGAGAACTTTTTATTACTGTTCAAGTTATATCTTATAATCATATTTTCATTTGAAAGTGCTATTTTGTTTTATAATGAATAATAAAACTAAATTAAAACGGGAAGTGTTAGACCATAAAGGCACAGTCAAACAGGAGGTGAACTGTCCATCTGTGAAGTCCACCATGGACCAGAGCAGTTGCGAGGAAATGCAGATGTCTTTCATACCATGGTTCAAGTTTCAAACTCACTATCAACAGTCTATTGTTAAATTCCTGCAATTTATTCTTTCTTAAATTCATGTTTTCTTTTCTTATTTTCGATCCAATTTGACTGGCAGTTTCTTGGCAAAGTAAAATTGCTCGTTCCATTCGCTCTGAGTAAAGAAAGAAAAATAGTTCCATGGATTTTATTGATTATGCTGAAATATATCACAATGCAGTATATCACAAATTAATCATTATTATAATTATAGTATGTAATAGAGACATTCTTCTGTTTTCTTCACTATATCTTTTTAATCAGAAAGAAAAAAAAAATGCATCATATTAAGACATATTCTCACTCAAGATCAATTAATATTTCTGTTACATTAGCCATTCCAGTCCATAGGACTTTGCAATAAATCATAAATAGTTTTCTCTGTGCTGAGGATCAGACTGATCCATTATCCTTTTGTTTGAGCAGGAAGTATCAATCTTACCTTATACAAAGCCCACTTCAGAAAGTAATTCCATGCAAATAGTTCTACTCCTGTTTGACCAAATTTTAAAACTTCTTATTTCTTTGCTTAGTGATATTTAAGCTTGATAAAATGATATAATGTCTAATTATATAATTCAAATTTCTTTGCTGATTCTAATTCAAATTTATCAAATTTATAGAGGTATAAAACAAGTTATGATTATTAGAAATTACTAAGAAGTCCATTTCCACATGTCGAAAGATAAATGTATTTGTTTATACAATGATATAAATTGACAATAGTAAAAAATAACAATATTAAAAATATATTTATTTATTGTTTTTAAAAATCTATAAATGAACATAGTTAGATAGATAGATAGAAAATATCTTTATTCTGGGACAAACAAAACCATACAAAAATAAAAGATTATATCTGGCCTAAGGTTTGAAACAAAAATAAAATAAAATAAAGCAAAGAAAATATTAAGTGAGCATGCTATGTACAAAAAAAACTATTAACAAAACATTTAAAACTATTCTTAACTATATACAATGATAAAACAGTATGAATATACACTTCTAAGAAAAAAATAAATTAAAATTCTTCTTATCAATAAGCTCTGAGTTTCCACTAAGAGAAAAGAAAACTAAATATGTCCACATAAAATGTCTAAATATATAAATGCTAAAGAATATGTAAATACATCTAAATAATATAAAAATTAATAAATATGTACAAATACATCATGAGAAGAGCATAATCAAATCTTAAAATAATCATACGTAAGAATTTAAATTGACCATAAATTAAATAATAGTAATAAAATAACAATAGATGCATTGAATGGCATCGATAGTAGGAAATTCTTGTAATATCCTTAACAATGTCCTTTGATGATAAATGACAAAATAAATGTATGATGTCAAAAAGTTAGCAGGTATCGGACTGTTTTTGGGAAAAGAATTGGAATAGGAGGGTTTTAAATATGAATATGGAGGAGAGAATGCCGAATATTGATAGGAAGAGAATTCCAGAAATTGACAAAGTGGGCAACAAAGGAGTTTTGGAATGGGGCAGATCTGTGAAAAGGGATGTATAGTTCAGAAGGCCTAGATCTTGTGCTAAGGAAATGGACTGAGGACTTCAACTGAAGAAGGTTGTAGGCATAAGAAGGACGATGATTGTTGATGATTTGACAGGAGGGGAAGAGCCACCTAAATTAATGTGAGATACGAGAATGTCTCTGAGTCCCAATCACAAATTTTAAAAAGCTATTCGTTAGTCTTTTCATTCTATTGCGTAATTCCACTGAGAGGCCATTTACACTACACAGCTGTACTGTGTCAAACTGGAGGAAGAGAGAGAACTAGGAGTGTACATTTATGTTGAGGTAGGATATGTCGGAAGCAATAGAATAGTTTAGGGGTAGAAATTGCCTGTGGGAAATGTGGTGATTCCAGGAGAGGGTTTGATCAATGAAAAAGCCTAAATGTTTAACAGAGGACTGGAAGTTGATGGGATGGTCATTTAGATATAGTATGAGAAAGTTAGTATGGATTCTAAGAAGAGGCTTGGAACTAATGACAAAGGCCTGAGTTTTTAAGTTAATAGCATTTAACCTGAATCCGTTAATAGATAGTAAAATAGGCACAGTAGTATGTCTATGTAATATTTATCTTGTAATAAAAACTTGTAATTTCAAAGCCGATAGATACAGAAAATGAAATAGGAACCCTGTTATAGCTTAATGGAATAATTTACAATAATTCATAGTAATATTTTTAACTTACTCATTTTCTTAATTATAAAATGAATTCTTTTTTTATGACTTTTTGGGTTCATGACCCCCTCATCAGCTTGCATATTATTTCTTATATGTTTGTGCATCTATTGTATAATGTTTGTTAATCAATTCATTTATGATTATACATAACCGCTACACTTTACCTATCTCTTTCTTTTTAAGACCCTGAAACATCCTTTAAAAGATTAAAATGGCAAATCAATTAAGATTAATAAAAATTAAGGAAATTTTATTTTTAAATCTTTTGTTTAAACTTTAGTAATCTCTATAATTATACTAATACTCTTCGGTTCGAATATTCTGCGCATTTTATTTTCAAAAACCTTAAGAAGTTAATTTGCTCATTTCTTGCCTTTGACCACCAACCAATAATTTTTTTTAAACCACCAGCAAATGTTCTGTTTGATTGCAATACCCTTCTCTGAACGCCGTGATAATGTTTCTTGTAGCTTGGGCTGCTGAGTGTCCAAGTTTGAACTCATAAAAAAATTACTCAAAAATCACTTGTTTCCATAGTCATATTTGATGATGTAACGTAGTAAACAACAAAAGTCCACTAATCCCATTTTGAATTTCTAAAATAATAAAAACGGATATTTCATATGAAATGGCCTAATAAAACACGTTTATTAACTGAATTAGTATGGCTAACATCTTATCCGTTCAAGTATAATGAAAGTGAATAACAAAAATATAATGAAAGACTGTGGAAATGCGGCCTTTAGGAGACATTTAATCCAAATAAAGTTGTCTTTTGCAAATCACCATTTTCTTTTAGATCTATATAAAATGACTTAACAAAATGATTCATTTTATCAAAACTTTATTGCTGAAAAACCTAAATTATCTGTTTCTTAGGTGTAATTACTATTAATTTTATTAAAATATTTAGTTTTAGCAGTTAAATTTACTGATTCATTGTCACCCATAGTTGGGCTCCATCATTAAAAGGTTCCGATGGTGGCCAGTTGAGTGACTTCATTGATGGATTGGGTCCTGGACAACTTGTAGGGAGGCAAGTCCTTGGAGCTCCTTCTTTAGGAGATATACAACTCTCCATGTTATATCAAAAGGGTTACCTTGAAGTAGAGGTGATCCGAGCTAGAGGACTCCAAGCAAAACCCAACAGTAAAACCTTACCAGGTTAATATTATTTATATTAATTAATGATAATTATTATAAGATCTAATATATTAGGTATTGAGTGCACTTAACTCTTGTAATAAGGATCCTTTTGAGGGTTTGCAAATCTCTTGAGCAAGCTTTATGAGCTTACATAAAAAATTTAATTAAAAAAAAAAAAAGATGCGAGCATAAGAAAAATATCATGTTCTCTATAAAGCTGTATAATTTCACTAATTAACCCATTCATTAACAAAAAAATTCATTGTGTCTGGTAATGCCCTTCAACATAAACTACTTTATTAATGTGTTATTTTTTTATATTGATAAATGTGATAAAATTCACAAATGTGTATTTAAAAGGTTTTAGTAAATAATATTTACTAGAGGGACACCTCCTGTCTGCCTAATGGCAGACCAACCCCCATTTTACAAATTATAAAAGTGTTCATTTAATTATACTACTCTTTGTTCTAATTGTATAACTGTAATTTACATGTATTCTGTAGTTCATATTGTATTATTTTTTATCAACATAAAATGAACGAAACTGCAATTCGGACAAATTTTTAATCTCTTACAAAATCTATATTATACATTGCACCTTATATCCAATTTATATTATTATTTAATTATAATTAATTCTTATTGCCAATTTGTAACCATAATATATAAATATATATAATCAACTTGTCCAGCTTCATTTAGGCCCAACACCATTTTGAGTCTTTTATTTATAATATTTTCATTGTAAATTATACTGTGCTTCTTTTTCTATTTCATGATAATTATAATTATATCGCAATATTATATAAATAATATTTTGTAAAATATAATAATTAATATATTGTATTCAAGGGGAAAATGTCTAGATCAAAAACTAACTCCTGTCACCTAGGTAAAATCAAACTACCACCTAATAATACCATACAAATTTTTAGCCTAAAATCTTTATTTTGTATTGGGAGAGTAAGAGGTGGCAAGAGCTCAACACATATGTTGTACACTAACGAAGACACCAGGGTGTAAATCTCTAGTTTGTATTAGGAGAATAGGAGGTTACAGGAGCTCAACACTTATGTAATTAAATGGATAGTTGTATAATTTGTAAAATAATCACCATAGGATAGTAGCACTCTGGAGTCTAGAGGACTGAGCTGAAAAGTTGAGATCCTGTAGTCTTCTATTCTCTTAATACTAAAATAAAATAAAATTTGACAGTCACTAAAAACTTCTCAGCAGTGAGATATTCCAAAAGTGTCATCAGCCACTGGTTATGAAATCCTTTAAAAGAGCACATTAGATACTTTAATAGTGAGGTAGGCTGAGCAAACTGGTATACTTACAGTCATCGGGGAAGTGTTAGAGAGAGTATAACAGTACCCCCTCAGCCATAGAAAGAAGATTGAATGAGCACACTGATGTATTGGATTTGCAAATAAGTCCTTTCGGTTTTTCAGAGTGAAATAAAACTCAATGTATTATAGACATAAAATTTATTTTAATCTACAATATATTGACCATTATTTAATATGACTTTCCCATTTTTCAAGTAACTGTATAATGCAATTTTCATAGGCTGTCTGGAGTTTATTGTTAAAAAAATGATCCAAGTGGTTTTTGATGTCCTCTTCCATTTAGAATTTCTTTCCATTCTTGGAGTTTTGCAGAGACTGGAATAAGTGGTAGTCACTAGGAGCTAGGTCTGGTGAATAGGGAGAGTGGAGCAAAAGTTCCAATCCAAGGCTCAATAATTTATTGCGAGTGACCAGTGAGGTGTGGGACCTAGCGTTGTCTTCGTGGAACACAACACCCTTCCGATTTGCCAGTTCTGGGCATTTATTTTCAATTGATTGATCCAATTTTTTTAATTGTGAGCAGTATAGAGTTGATCCAATTGTTTATTCTGATGGCATTAGCTCATAGGAAATAACACCCTTGAAATCCCACCATAGGGAAAGCATTCTCTTCTTTGGATGCAATCCGGATTTTGACATTCTTCTAGGAGCCTCACTACTAGGTCCCCAAGATTTTCTACGGACTACATTATCATAAAATATCTATTTTTCATCTCATGTTACCAACCTTTTCAAAAATGGGTCGTTCTGTTGCCTTTTCTATAGTGAATCAAAAAAATTGAAATGCATGTTTCCAAGTTGACTTCAGTTAGAGATTGAGGGACCCAAACAGTAAGCCTATAAAATAGCCGAGCTTGTGCAAATGGTTTTCTACGCTTGTGTGTGACACATTTAGAGCCATAGCAATCTCTTGCTCTGTTTTGGTGGGATTTTGATCAACAATGGCCTTAGCATTGCTCGTTTCAATTTCATGTGGGCGACCAGACCGTTGAGCATGATTGATGTCAAAATTTCCTAAATGAAATTTTGCAAATCAATTTTGACAGGTGCGTTCAGTTAAGGCATCATTCCCATAAATACTGCAAATTTTTCTATGAGCGTCTGCAGCACGCTTACCTTTTTAAAAATAATTCAACAGAATATGCCGATAATGAATGATATTTTCTTCCATATTCACAGTGCAATAGCAAATACAATACTAAGCTTGTTTAAACAAGAGTTAATAGATATATTTGTGGACATATTACAAACATGATAAACAATCTATCTTAGGAATTAATTCATCAGATAAGAAGTGTATCATAGTGGCATAAAAATGAACAGAAAAATTGAAAGAACTTATTTGCCAACCCAATACTCTTGATAAGAAATGGGTTTAGAACCTAATCTCATTATTAATTATATAATGGAGTTTACAATAAACATTTATTTTCTTTTAAGCTGCTTTCTAAAACTTTGTTATTATTATTATTATTGGATCTATTTTAAATGCTGTTTAACCAAATAGTAGCAAAATTATTAACTATGTGAAAAAATCATTATTTAAAATTTTTTTGTTTGCCTTTTGTATATTACCTTAAGATTTGTGAATTAATTAGAACTTTTCATATCTTTTAGCACCCTATGTCAAAGTTTATTTGGTCAATGGCAAGAAATGTCTTGCCAAAGCAAAAACAACTACAGCTAGAAGAACCTTAGATCCTCTCTACCAGCAACAACTTACATTTAGGGGCCCATTTCATAATTGCATTCTTCAGGTAAAGTTGAATAATCTGATTTTTTATTTTTTATTATTAGTTATAAGTATATTATTATTTTTTAAAATATAAAATATTTAATTGTATTTAACATGCAGGATACTGATTTTCTAATTAAAAAGGTAAGATCACAGTCAATGGGCCATCAATTTCAAACAAGTTTATTTTTTGATATATTTATTTATATCATGAGTTTGTGATTTTGGGAGAAAAAAATCATAGGCCCAACCATTGCAAAATTTTTTTAGCAAAAGCATTTTATTTTTTAATTGATATAAAAATTCATATACAAGGATTTATCAGGTTCCAAAAATGAATATCAATTTTATTTCTCCCTTAAAAAAATATTTACCATTTACCCATTGTTATGTCAGTTGGTCCAATTTGTTTCGATATTATACTCATACTTTAAATATCTGTCAAATATTGCCTTTTCTACAAACATTATCATAAGTGTGTATGAAAAATACTATTTGCAAAATCCAGTGGATACAAAATTAAAAAAATATAGGTACATCACATTTTAAGGTAGGGGAATATAAAACTTTAGGCCATAGAGATTCAGTAAAATTCCTATATCTGGTCTTCTGATGAAAGAAATAATTATCTTAATGCATCATCTGGATGTACTAACTTTACATGTCACAGTATATCTTAAAAATCAATATGTGGATAGGAAGCTCTGAAAGATTAGGATTGGATAAAAAGCTTTAACAAAAATTACCGATTGATATCTTATGTAATATGAACTTTTCATTTTGCCATTTGTTTTTAAGTTTATGTTTTATTTGTGTACTCTTGAAGAGCTTGTTATCAAAAGTAAACATCTCTGCTTCTTACCAAAAGTTGATGAGGTCTGTTAGTTTTCCGAAGATGTTCATAATATTAACTCCACTTTGATAGATAATTGTTTTTCTTTATGGAATAGTGAATAGAAACATAGTTTTTTTCACTTAATTTTAACTAATCTAAGTGAGGAATAAATGTTAGGTACATTTTGATGAATAAACAATAGCAGAAACATGATTAATGAAAGAAATACAATTTTCATCAGTTAATTTCATTTTCTTAAAAATTTTCCTTTAATTTTCACTATGATGGACATTTATCTATAGCAGAAAAAAATTATACCAACTAGGTGACCATTATTTTATTTTACCCTCTACTTCGACATTCCTAACATAGACCTGCCCAGACTGGATTCGATCTGGTGTTCCTAAACTCAAGAATGCTAAAGTGGGCAACACTATATATAATTATATTTAATATTAATTAAATTACTATTTTATTATTTGTACTAAGAAACATTGTTATTATAAAGATATATCTTATTACATTTGTAGCAGGGCATATATTTATTTATTTTTTGCAGGTGACTGTGTGGGGTGATTATGGACGGATGGAGGGTAAAAAAGTTTTTATGGGTGTTGCCCAAATAATGTTAGATGACTTGAATTTGACGAATCTCGCTATTGGGTGGTACAAACTGTTTGGGACTTCTTCATTGGTCAGTGGCCCACCCTTCCTCGCCCTTTCAAGACGCACTTCCTTAGCTAGCCTTGATTCCCTTAAACTTTCTTCATAGTGATAACTTCTTTAGTGATGCTACTAATCCATTTAACTCTTCCTCTCTGAGGTTCAATTAATATGAATAAATAGAATTGTTCTGCCAAGAGCCAAGTCCAGTTATTTGTAATAATTTAAGTAATATGTGATATTCTTTTAAATTATGATTGAATTTTTATTAAAGCTTTTCTGTGATTTATAAATCGAATTCAGAAATTAGTAACTTATCTTTTATCATTAAATTGTAAAAGATGTGTGTGTATATATGTATATATATAAACACAGACATTAATACAATTAGCTAGTTGTAACTTCAAACTCTTTGAAACATACTTTTTTTTATAAAATAAAAAATAGTAATTACATTTTCTAAGCTTTTTTAAAAATCAATTTTGTATTACTTATTATTTTAACTTGTTTCTTCTTTTGGAATTGACTATTAATTTCCCTTAACTGCTATACAATTTTATTATTATTAATCAGAAAAAATGATTTATGTTGCTTTTTCCATAAGTTAACAAAAACCTTTTCTTAATGTGACCAAACCTTCAACATATCCTAACACAGGAAGTGGTAGTTAGAAAGCCCAAGTCCACAAATAGGCTTCATACTCAATTAGTAGGTAACTTTAGTACAATATTTAGCAGCACAATTAATTTATTTTGCAACTTATTGTTTAATGCTTTATTTGCTTGGCAGATATTAAATTTCTCATGCTTGATCTGCTGTTATGTTTATGTTTAAATTATCTTTTTTCTTGTAGCAATAGTGAGTCGTAAGTTCTTAAATAGATTCACTATATTTTGGTTAAAAATTAAGCATTTAAAGACAAAACGCAGATGATCTGCTTGCAATAATTAATCATAATATGCATGATTTGCTCTGGCAATCATATTATAATTATTTTGAAGAAGACAAATATTTTTCAACAAAGAAATTTAATTCTTTATTATTATGTACTTTTTTTAAAAATAATATAATCAATTCATTTCTTTTCTTTCTTTTTTTCTTGTTAGATTTCAAATGTACTTTAATTTTTCATTAATGTTTCAATATCAATTTGTAATTTGTTCTTTTGATCAAAAATTTGTTAATTGGGTATTTTAAATTCATTGAGGTACAGCAAATATGCTTTGAAAGGAAATGATATCTGATTCTTATAGTGTACCCTTTGTTGAAAATTTTTTGGAAGCCTCATTGGTCATAGTCCTTGGCTAACGTTTTATTCTCAGAATATAAAATAAACTGATATAAAATCTGGATGCACAGAATAGTTATCTTTGATACTTTCTGATCTCAATTAATGAATATAAAACTTCCAGATGGACTGAAAAGAGTAAACCAGAATATAATAATTTGAAAAGATAGATTATCAGTTCTTAATGAAGGAATACTACTGAATTTGTTCACCATTGTTATAAATATTGTTGTAATTAAAGCTACTTTCAGATAGTGGTTTAGTTTGTTTTTGATAACTAATACTAAAAGTATCAGCTGGAACATTTTTTTTTTAAATATGAAAATTCGTATTATTTAACATTCCATTTGATCCAATGTATTTTTCTATATTTATATTCTGTAAATGATGGTTTCTAGCCATTCATAGATTATGGGAAGTTTCTTGCCAATAACTTGTTCACTAGTGCAGTGACGTTTAAATAATTGACTATTTCTAAAGTGTAAATAAATTTTAAAACATTGAATTACAGAAGGTCCAAATTTGGGCTTCGGGAACCTTGTACTTGTCCTTGTTAAGAGTTTTATCTATGCCGATGGCATAGTCCTGATTTCTGTTTCCATTCATTTATAGCAGATCACATGGAATCAATGTGATGATTGATGAAATGGAGCATGGAGCTTGAGGAGAGAGTTTGATGAACATCATGCTTGCTGACAGAAATGAAGATCATCTTCTAATCACTTGCTATGACCACATCCCAGAGGATATAGTTAGCTTTGTATATTGAGGATCTATAAACCCAAACAATGAAAGGACCAACCTCAATTAACTGAGTATTTTGTAAAAAGCAAAAAAGCAGTGGTTTTCATAGTCTTATGTATCAGGTTGCCGGGCAACGGCGGTGCAGTGCACACGCGTTAGCCCATTCGGCCACCCCGCCCACAAAAAGCAGTGGTGTAAAAGAGATCAGCAAGGAAACTAATTTGTGACTTTTCAAATCAATTTTTCTTATAATGCAGCTATAGGGATCAGCGAGCTCCCCCTTACAGCTTGATAAGCCTATATGCAAAGTGATATAAGCTAATATGAGGTTCCTGAGAATAACTGTTGAAAAAATAAGCTGTGAAATGAAAGCTGTAATAAAATTATGAGAGAGAACCTGGGCATACAGCCAATAGGAAATGTCCTGGAAGAAAGACAGCTAGTGATTGGACAAGTGTGAAATGATTTCTTACGACTCATTCTTGTCGACTGGCAAGCCCCAAAACACGTACTAATGGTATATGGAGGTACTTGGAGGAGCCAGAGAAAGCAGCATCTCAGAAATAAGAATATTGGCTGGAGTTCATAACCAATGGAAATAATCTGAGACTGCTCTATATCTGACAGCAGCTGGTTGAAGAGAAATGAAGAAAGAGTTACATATTCATTTCTAAATCAGAATTTATTAAGCTTAAGGAGAAAACTAAGTAATTATTCAGTAAAACCAGAAGTAGATGCTTAAGAAAACAAAAGAAAGGTTGTAAGGAAATTATGATTACATCATTTTTCTCTCAAATACAAAAATATTCATGAAACTTCCTCATTGTTCCATTTACCATTTTTTATCTCAGAATCAAATATTTGATGACAAGTTATAGTAAGCATAAATTATGAACATAATAAGTTAAATATGCTAGTTAGTTAATTATGCTAATAAGTTAACTAAAACAATAAAATGTCATTAATTATAATTTCTTTATTACTAAAATATTCGAAAATCACCAATTATGCATGTGAAGAAATAAAATTGGTATTATTTCATAAAGCATATTTTGCAAAATTTAAAAATAATTTAGCATGTGGCCACTTAAACTAAGTTGTAAATATTAATAGTTTTTGACAGTACACTTTACAATCATATTTATAATTATTGCAATTTTTTATTTCAGTGAGGAAAACAGAAACATTTGAAGTATTTTAATGTTGGAAGTTGAAAATATTTGATGATGTTATTCATCCAAAACTGTTTACAATGGAACAACCTCTCCAATGATTGTGTACTCATTTTTACAACATATGTATAATTGAATATTGCTGTTTTACCTATCATTTTAGTGATAATTTTTATAAAAATGTTTTCTATGAAATATAATTTTTAGGAAATTTTTATGTAATTATGTATAATTTTAACAAAATCAACTTTTTTGTGGATTATTATTATTTGTTCTATTCTTGTTTATTGTTTTTGTGACAATAAAAAGAAGAATAAAAAATGTAGTGCTGATCCAAGTTTCTAGTATATGCGTATATATGTATAATTGAATAATGATTATATGTATATAATAATTATCATTTATAACTGCAATGTGGAGGATTGTTCCCACAATATCAATATAAATTTAAAAGGCGTTGTAAAATTATTTATGGATTAAAAGTTGGTCACCTTATAGAAACATAATGTGTATATAACAAAAAAAAACTAATGTGATATGTAATGTTATAATCTTATTGTTGCATATATATATTTTATATTAGTATTTATTGATTTAAAACTGGGAAGGATTAAACCTATGTTACTGTGAATGGATGTGTGCTGTTTTTTAATATATAAAGTATAAATAGGACTGAATGTAGGAACTATATTATTTAGTTTTTCTATCCTTTTAAGTATAAAACCTGTACAAAATATATTATTAACAAACTATTTATCATATTTTAAAAAGAACTATTATTTATTAATAAATATCTGATTTTATAAGCAAGATGATGGTTTATAGTTTATAAAGATTACTGTTCAGTAAATTTCATAGGTTTGCTTGTATATGGAAGTTTATACAATATCCTTCTTGTGGACTATATTATCCTAAGTGGTCATTATATTCAGTTGAAAATGCTGGTTTACTAATTGGTATACAATTTAATTGTGTATATAAATTTATAATCTGCCTCCAATCTACCATAAGTTTAGGTGAATGTATATATCGGAACACTTTAAATGAAGTTTTATTTTATTTCACTTTATACTCGATACATCCTGTGACCAACTTATATTTAAATCGAATCTAAAGACATTTCCATTTGCTATTAGTTAAAACTGTGATTTTTGGCTAAGTGAAAAAATAAAAAACTTTTCAATTTTAAACATTGCAAAAGGAAATGTGTTTATAGATTTTATAGACACATATATTTTACAGTCTGTGTATTCTGGCACAACAATATTTTTTCAATATTCATCCTTTGTTACTGGTTTCAATAGAGTAAGTGTATTCATTATCCGTAATTTACTATTATTTCATCACACATTGTATCGTTTGTATAATGAGAATTGCACATGACCAATTAAAGAAAATCAGGAAGCCTTATATCAGATTCATTATTAAAACAAGATAAACAAACAATGCTTTAAAACCCAAGTTTATGTGTATACATATAACCACTTATATGTATATATTTATATATTTATATATATATATATATATATATATATATATATATATATATATATATATATATATATATATATATATATATATTATATGAATTTCTAGGTTAAGGAATGTAGATTTTTTAAACTTTTATATTTACCATCAGGCTTTTTTCATGTAATTTGTGTATGTAATTATGTATATGTATTGGTGGGTGTGTATTTATAAATGTATATGTAAATGCATACATAATTTGTGTAAATTGTGTATGCATTGATACTATACATATGTACATAATACAGTAGTTAATATACATATTGAATTGATATACACCAACAGATACATATACCTGTACATATACTATGTATTTCATGCATTAGGTGCTTATATTAAAAATTAAAAAGAAAATAAATAAAAAAAAAGAATCAATTTTAGTCATACGTATTATTAATGAGATACAATGTATGTATTATTTACGATGAAGACAATATACAAAGTTTGGCTATAAAATTTGTTGAATAGTATAAAAAGAACTGCACGATCATTGATTTCATTTATAAAGAATAGTTTGGAATATAGGATAAAATCTTACCTGTACCTCATAATTTGAATCCTGGACCTAATACAAAATAATTTGATATCAGCCGAAATTATGATGGTTTGCTTTTACACATGTACACACACCCACACTCACAGATATTCATAAAGTGAAATTACAGTTGGTCTGAATACATGTGTTTGCATATTCATACATAAATGTATATGCATATACATATTATAAGTTATTTTTTAAAAACAATTGTTTACTATAATATTATAATACTGAATAAAGCCTGCATATGCACTAAATTTATCCTGTAATGGCTGAAACTTAAGTTTTCATTTTTGAATCGGTAAATTTATTTATTATATATATATATATATATATATATATATATAATTTTTTTTATAACAAAAGTATATTAAATTCAAAGAATATTTTTATGTATATGTTGTTATTCCATAATATACCATTTGTTTTCAAAAATTATTTTGTTCAATTATATTTAAAGTAATAGATTTTAAGTATGTGCCTTTGAAGTTGCGAGGGTTTTCTCTTCCTAAATTATTTTTATTTCATTTCATTTTTTTAATTATGTTTGTTTACTTTCGTTCCTCTACGATTCCAATTGGAAATTACATTTTATTTCTATATCTGTAACAATATGTTCTTGTTATTGAGATTAAAATTGATTAAAACTTACATATCTTTGCAGTGTGATTTATAGAATGAAAGATTGATTCACTAATGATTTAAATATAGATAAATAAACTAAATTTTGTTTAAAGTTGATTTATTGTTGGTGATCAATAAAATGTGTAACGTTTAATAAAGATCGTGAGGCAGAAGGTATATAAATATTATTTATAAGAGGATTGTTAATAATGAAGACTAAAATAAAATTAATTAAAATCTAACTTTTGCCTCTCGACATTAATGCCTTGAAGTTAACAGGGCCAAATAATGAGTTGTTTTTCAATAGCTATAACTTAGGGATAAATTTGTGTATGTTTAATTGGTCTGTGAATAAATCACTCTTTTAACTTAAAACAAAGTTATGAACAATTCTAACTTCAAAAATAAATTTTATTTCATTTGCGTTTCAATGCTTCATTCAACTGATTGAAAATATAATTAAATGTTAATTTACACAATTTTTTTCATTAATTTTAAAATTATGTATGTACATTAATATAGAATGATGTTTGTTGAGATGTACCAATTTTGAAATTGTGATATTAATTAAAACTTAATTTTTTAACTAAACAAAAAAGTAGTTTTATTAGTGCAGTGAGATTTTTTAAAAATTTATTTTCAACTTTATATGTGCTCAAATGTTAACTAAACAAAATATTTAAAAGCTTAAATGACAGAAATTTGTTACAATAAGACATTTCTCCTTTATATTACAAACCATAAGTGAAGATATCAATGGTAATTAAGAGCTTTAATATGCAAAGGATTTTAACATAAAGTATACTGTAAATAAAAATCTTTTCCTTATAGTACATTTACTTTTATTTTTAATAATGCTGTCTATCCCTATATTTTCCGTAAAATTGGGAAATATTAGCTTTGCTACCTAATTTATTAATATAAAGCTCAATATCTAATTTTTATACAGCAGGTGGGTAACTGGGCTAAGCTTAATATCATTTGTGAATGGTAAAAAAAAGTAATATTTATATCTTCTCTCTATAAAACTCGGATGAAATCCATGTAATTGTAGAATGTTGGTGAGAGTATTTCCTTGTGATTTATTCCTATCCCTCACGGTTATCTCTTATTTTCCTAGTTTCCTATTTCCTATAAAAATATTTATAGATCTACCTTTCCAATTCCTAAATATGATTCATTCACAACTACTCCTTTATTTTTCATAAGATCTTTTGTCATCTCTTATTCCATTTAGGTGACAGTAGTATAGCTTTTGACAACCCTGTCACTATACATTCTTAACATGAGACTCAACCATCTTAGATGTTACATTTTGTCAAGTTAGAGATATACAAACTAACATAAACAAAATAAATTTGCAGATTATTTTGCGAACACCTTTTATTTGGCAAAAAAAAAAAATGCTTAAATTATTCATCATAATAAATATCAAATTTCTCAGCTACAGCTCTACTATACAGTAACAGTTTAGAATGTTATTTATGGCTTAAGGTTTGTTAAATGATTAATTTTATCAATTGTCTTCTTAAGAGGTGGATATTATGGCTTTATTAGGTAAGGTATGCTTCCATCTCATCATTCAAAAACTTCTGGATTCTTGATTTAGTATGGGTAGTGTGAACAGCATTTTCGTACACATCCCAACCCAATATTTAGGACCAACGGAACAGACAGTGCGTTACTACCAACATGGAGGATATCCTAAGGAAATATTTCTCCACCGTCCATTGTCAACTCTGCCTACTCTGGTGCTACTTTACTCAAGGACCTCTCAATTCCTCACCAAGTATGGAGGCTTTTGTGCCAAGTTGCACGGACTTGGAATGGATATTTATCCCCTATGTTATGGCTTTTTGGAAAATGTCAAGGAGGTAAGGTATTGAAGGTCAAGCTAATGAAGAATACCATTCCCCATAGTCTTGATGAAGGTGATTTCTACTGCTTTTTACTTCAGAGAACTACACTTTCTTTGCATACAGGCACGGGCGGATCTATGGTGGGGGTCTTTCGGCTGAAGCCCCTCCCCCCCAAAATTGTAAAACATAACCATGTTTTATGAATTTTTTTTTTTAAATACCTCTTAAAGTATTATTGTTCGGTTAATTACATTTAAAAGAACTTAAGGAATCACTTAAACACCATTTCACATAGGTAGTTAGTTTCTTTCTGTTTTTCCAAAGTAATTATCGTAATTTTTATGAAAAAAAAGCTTCCGGGCTGAAGCCTCCCCCAAAATTAAATCCTGGATCCGCTAGTGCATACAGGTGGAAAGAAATACAGGTATTGCCAATTTTTAATCAGGAATAATGTAAAGACGATATTAACTACCATCATTTTTATCTGGGAAGAATGATGCAGAGAAATTTGGAGGCCAACTAACTTCCTGGATCCAGAAGATGATAATGGAATTTTTTGTCATTTCCAAAATCTTTATGCTGTTGTTTTAAAACTTGAGGGTCCCTTAGGGAATATTTGGTTACTCCAGCCCTTTTTCATTATCTTAATTCTTGGCTAACCATTTGTGAGTATACAGCTGCAGTTAGCTAAGCGTGGGCACTTGGCAAAATAACTCAGCGTTCTATTCAGTATTTTATTTTTGCTAATAATAGTAAATTAAGATATATTTGAAAAAAATAACTAAACTTTAATAAGAAGGCTTAAAATTTAATCAGGGTACACACCACTAGCGGATCCAGGATTTAATTTTGGGAAGGGCTTCAGCCCGAAAGCTTTTTTTTTTCATAAAAATGACGAAAACTACTTTGGAAAAAAAGAAAACTAACTATCT